CATATTATAAGGCAAGGTTATAAAACCACCTTTTAAGATCATTTTAGTGAAAGTTTCATGTTCCTATCTCATATAATTTAAGAACAATGATGAATAAATCATTTTCGAGCAAAATTTAAATGGCCGGCTGAATATATTACCACCGGAGAGAAGGCCGCAGAATTTAAATAACCGCGCGAAAGGGTTAATTGTAGCTACGACTTGTAGGTTGTTAAATAAACCAATTAACAATCTGAACGTTGTCTTCAGTGGCAAAACACGTTACAGTATCAACAGCATTTGTCGACCCTCCACTGAATCTTTTCATTGATTTGTAAACCTTCCCCTGGCTCATATAGTTCTTGCCATACTGAACTGTTGTGCTTTCCCCACTTTCTCTAGTCTCTGCATCCTGCAAGCTCAAAAAATTGTTCACAAATCTTGTTCTTAGGTATGTTCTATTAATCAAGCAGCCATATCAAAGTGTCAACATATTATAATTACTAAAGAACAAACAGAACCAACTAGGTTCAACTGAAAGAAGATTCATATTGTTTGTATCTACCGTTATTTTCAATGCTGCCAACATTACTTTTGAGTTAAACTGAACTTGCCTTTCTCCCTTGTATGTTCATAAGAACAGTAATGGGTTTTGGGATGATTTACTTTCCTGCTGTTAAAACTATGATAAATTTACTTACCTCAGCAGCTGGTCCTATTAAAGACAGCAGAACTGGAAAGAAGACTAGTCCAGTAAAGAGGCCCACCACTACCAGTGCCAGCAATACATAGAAGAAATATCTGAAACAGAAGACAGTACCATGCATGAACAGGGGGTGGACTGAGGGGATTTTGTTCCAGCATCTGATTACTTCATTTGGTGCATTCAGTAGCTTAGTCTGTATAAGAGTGAGTGTTGAAATGATCAGTGATTTATGAACTGAAATGGAGTGGATAGAGAAGTGGCCATGTTCTAACTTTAGGTACTGTCCTGGCATTTGCTTGGAGGAAGTGAAAGAAACCCACAAAAATCATCAGTCAGGATTGGTCTGTGGGATGAGATTTCAACCCCCAGGCCTACAAAACATGAAGCAGGAGTGGTAACAAGTTAACCATGACATTCACTTAATTACTGCTTCTGTGCTAAACTTGGTCTCTTGCCTTACTCCCCTCAGATGTTCCTTGTATGTTTTGGTTCCTTAGTTCATTTAATGACACTTTCTCAGCTGTGCAGATTACATGGGAGGATGATTGTGAATTATGAACTGGGAGGGATGTAGTTCAAAGGGAACATATTATTATGTCATAAGACAGTCACTTGTAGACAGCCCTTGAAAGTGAATAAAAGGTAAAAGGACACTTTGCATAATTTGAGCATAGAATAGGAAGTATTAATCATATGCATATTGACCTAAAAGGAGTTTTAGAATGTGGCATCTTATCCTGCTTTAAGAACAAATTCTTGTGTCCCTATTGCACAGACAGATTCAGTTTGATAGGAAATATGTTTTCCTCTGGAAGCCCTGACTTCTGTAACATTAGAACTTGTAACAGAATAATGGTCAAGTACTGTGTGTGTGGCTCAAGTTACCTCACAGGCTTCTCCACTCAGCATTAACTTCTTCCGGCACTCTATATCTCAGAGATGAGTGTTCACTGAGTTACAGGCTTGGCCAGTATTTGCCCCTGTCTACATAAGGTGTAAACACACATTCACTTCCCTGTATTATTTGGATAAAATGAAGATACAAGAGGCAAGGCCAGCTGTGCATATAGCCATGTAGGATGACCAGTTCCAAAGGTGACCAAAGCATTTTCATAAATTTTTTGCTGATAATAATGGTGTATTTAGAAGATTGCAAATTAATGGAGGGTTAACTTAATCTTACAAAATCATGAACATAAAAGTCTCAATTATGAGCACTTACCCTTATCAACCAAAATAAAAAAATTACGAACACTAAGATAAAAATTATTATTTTTTAATTTAATATGCTGCACTAGATATCGCCACAGAATTACTGGATTTGCTTTCAGAGTCTGGAATTACATGATACCTCTACTATCTATCACCTGTACAGCAATTTGTTGGCTCCACTGGATATGTTACAACAGGTTTAGCTGTTCACTCCCCATGTGTCACATGTCCCTTTGGTAATCCAATAGCTGCAGATCATGTTAAACGTCTTGATAGTCGAGCATGTAACAGTGTTACTCAGATGCACATCCTGCTCCTGTTCTTTTGTTTCACAGGTTCAGTGGGACAAGATCAAAATAATAGTAGACTGGGCTTCATTGTAGGCACTGCTAATGGTTGCACACATATTTCTTTTAATAAGTCTTGTTTTATGCTTTCCCACTGTTCATGTTTTGTAGCACTGAATGGGAGATGAGTGTGAATGATGAATTCCATAAGGACATGGAACAAAGCAGTTTTGGCATATTTTATTCACATGGCAAAATAATTAAAAATATGGACATTGCAGCTCTTGTCTTGAAAGTCTAATATTTCTGTGCCACAGTATGTGTATGTATGTAGAAAATATATGCTGAAACCATGGTCCGAAAAATATTTCATGTCTTCTTTCCATTACTGATTTTCAAAGTCAGTGGAAGAATTTGGATGAATAATAACCAGCATCCTTGTACAGGAATTATTCTGCTATTCAAGAAATACCAAGCTGTTAAAGAAACAAAAGGTTCATCATCACCACCCCCAGAAATGTGTTAGGGACCTATTCTGAACCAGCCGAGATATTTTGGGTGTCTTTTGTGAGCAAAATGCCACAGTAAGCATCAACATCTCTGCTACTCTTTCCTGCACCAGATGATATAACATCCCACAATTTATATACATAAGATTCATTTTAATATTATCCTCTGATCTACACCTTAGTCACTGAGCAGGTTAGTAGTCTAGTAGTAATGCTGTAAATTTATATTCAGAAGGGGCCGGGTTTGAATCTTGACTGGAACATTGGATATTCTGAGGTGGTTGTGGTTTTCCTCAGTACCCCCAAGCATATGCACAGATGGTACTTGAACTAGGCTAATGACCACTTCATTCCAAGTCCCTTTCAATTCACTATTTATTAATCATCCTGTCATTTGATGCTGTACAGTCTAGATACCAACAGCATGGTAAAATAAATTACGGACATACTCCTCTTTCTAAAACTGTGTATGCCCAAGCCAAAATAAGACCCATAATTTCATTACCTTAACAATACAAAACATAGCTCCAGTTGCCTCTTGAGTCACCTGTCTGCATATTCCCTTCAATAGTTTGGTGCCTTTGACAATTTAAAGTGATAAAAATGTATATTATTGTGTTTCAAAATGCCATGAATGTTAACCACAGCAGGATGCAATTTGAGAGTGCATTGTGAAGATAATCATTTAATTCCATCATATCTGAACTAAACTAATTTTATCAAATAGGGGCTTGGGAAAGCTCTTCTCTATCTTTTATGTAACTGGAAGATTCATGATTATGAAGAGTACACTTTCCTGGGGTATAACACTGTGCAGATTGGAGACAGCCCACTGTTTCAGAGGAACATATCTCCCCCATCTTCAAGTTTGAAGGTTAAACCAAGAAAGAAACTAGCACAGCCTGCTACTAGCTTCTAGCTTCTGCTGATTTCATTCCTGACTCGCTCTTTGACCCTGAAGATGGAGGCAAAATGTTCTTCCGAAACATCAGTCTGTCTCTGAACTATGCAGTGTTATAACCCTGAAGATTGTGGTCTTCATATTTGGCACCATGAGCACCTCAGACACAACATTCATGATCAAATCGATGACAGCCCACTGCAGAGCCCTATCATGAGTCAGTTTCATCCAGTTCACATCCGCTCCTCATACGTTAAGTATGCCTAAGTCTACAAAGTGGTCTCTGCTCTTTATGCCTTGTGAAACGTAGAAGCTGTCAGCACTGAGCTTGTTGAGCAAGTTGAAATGGAAGCCCTGGCTAGTTAAGCAGCAGTAATCTGATCTCTTGTGTAACTTGAGACAGATGCCTGGGAGCAGTATATGAGGTGGTCCTGACAGGTGTGCCACTACAGGCACTTCTGCAGATGTTATTTCATGTGGCTAAACAGTTTATCTGCTATTACAAAGTACGCTGTGGTTTCTGTTTTTATGAAGCAGCTACAGGATGACTCTGGGGTTATTCATCATCTTCATTCCACTGATGGTATAATGTAAATTGGGTTACTGATTAAGTTTTCTTATCTTATTCTTTATGATCCATTATCACATTCCCCCAGCCATCTACACCAAAGTATCTCCAAAATTCTCTTTTCCCTTCAGATTCTCCAACTAAATTTTGTATGTACTTATCATCATCATGAATCTCAGAAGTCCTGCCCATCTCATCCCCTATGATTTAACTCTACAGTCAACTCTGACATTTACTGTGATGTGTTGAGACGCTTGAGAGAAAATGCGCAATGAAAAAGACCGGAACTTTAGTGCAACCACAACTGGCTCCTTCATCACGGCAATATACCTGCCCGCACGTCCCTGGAAGCCGCAGAGTTTGTGACTAACAACAGGGTTATCGTTCCCCATCCTCCCTTCTCACTGGACTTAGCCCCTGTGATTTCACTTTGTTTCCAAAATTGAAAATGAAACTGAAGGGATGACGTTTTGAAACAGAGTCTGACATCCAAAGGGAACTGCAAGCGGTACTCGACAACATTAAGGAAAATCACTTCCACCTTGCTTTTGAAGCATAGAAAAAACAATGGGATCGCTGTGTACGTTCCCAAGGAGACTATTTTGAAGAAGATGGCAACCAAAATTGAGAAAGTTAAGCCAACATTTCTTCTGTGACCTAACCCAGGAACTTTCAGATGTGCACTCAGTAATGCTAATTAAACATAAAGTGTAACCCCCATTTAAGATTTCTTTGGGAAACTGAATTTGAATAAATGGAGCAAATGTAACACAGATTATTAACTTGGAATTACTGAAACTGAATGTTAAAAGAGGAAAACTTTATGCTGAGGACAACAAATGCGGGTTCCATTGTATCTTCAACATGCTTTAGTTTCATTAAAATCATTTTACTACTATGAATTTTTTACGATATGATCTCCTTTGTTACTAGCAGATCTATATATATACATATTATATATGGTTAAATTATGGATGTCACTTAGAGCAGTATTTGTTATAGGCCTCTTTTCTATCAATGGTTCTCATCAAGAAGAACTGAGACAGACTTGCCTCGACTGACATCCATTGCAGTGAGTAGCACTTCTGCTTTGTATTTAACTGGTCCCTGGTTTTAGTTCATTACTCCAGAATATGTCCCTTACAAAAATTAGGATGTCTACTTGTCAAAATAAGGAAGTGCAGAGTTAAGGACAAGACTCAACTGATTCACTAATTGAACAGTCTCTCATATTACAACAGCTTGTCTGTATTATGTTGCAGGAAGCAAGCTTTTTGGTGGAACAGTTTAATGAAAGGAAGTATCAGCACTGTGCTGTCAGATGGTGTAATGGAAGCCGAGTCGTGTATGCTGTGGAAATATGATCTTACCTGACAATGAAGTCAAACTCTGAGAATGCCAGCATGAAGATGCCAAGAAGTGTTGTAAGGGCTCCGTGAGTGACTGGAGCAAATGTGTGCTCCACAGCAAGACGAATCCGTCGATCTCTGCATCCTATACTTGTCATAAACCCCTGAAACAAAAGTCATATATTTATAATATATGCTTTTATTTCTTTGCAAATAACTTATTATTTGGGTGGGAAAAAATTCTGTATGAAGAGCATGAGCAATGGAATTCTTTATCCTGTAAATTTTTACATTTGTAAGTCTACTGATTTTTAGAAGTTTGTGATGATGGTACATCAGTACAAATATTATGTTTCTGGACATTACCCACTGTCCTGTCTTTATCTAAAAATACCGTCCAGTTCATTTTTCAAAACACAGCGTTTTGGAGACAGGATTATGTCTGCCTCTTCAGGTAAAACCTACTCAGTTGGGCTCAATCGATAGAGCTAGTCCGTCTCCGGACTATTTGAAAGAGTATTCTCTTCTTCACTTTTATATACATTCTATTTATGTTCTCTCTGAGTAAGGGTCAAAATATAGCTATTAAATGTGTTTTAAAAGTGAACTGTTGACCTTAGCCATACAACATCAAAAATCAGCATTAGTAATATTTTTGTGGGAAGCTGGTGGCATGTGCTCATGCTCTAAGGCATACTGATAATTATCAATATACTCAAAAAAATGGTTTTATGGCACATAATAATGACCATTACCATATTAGCCTGTCACTGGATTGTACCCAGAATCAATTCAATGTGTCACTCTTTTATAACATACACCCAAGCTGCATTAGTCTCTATGAAGTCTCCCAATTGAAATGTTTTACATGTTTCTGGTTTCACTAATGTATACTAACCTCCCTAACCTAACTAAACTTCTTTGTCTTAAAAATTCTAACAGTAACAGGTAATAACCAAAAATCATATTTCTATATATTTCAGCTGCTGGCTTTAGTCATGTTCCTTCCCTTACCAGGCATATGTGGACTGTGAAATGAACACCAATGCCTACAGCCACAATGAGTAGGACTGCAGGTATTGCACTGAGCTTGATGCCAAGGATTCCTATGACCCCTAGCAGCTGCATTACCATGGCTGCCAGAGCCAGCACCACCAGAGTAGCAGCCCACAAGTTGAGCAGCAGCACAGCCATGACCAGGAAGACCGCAACCAAAGCACAGAGCAAAGCCAGCCCCAGTGACTGGCGTAGGCCCAAGTACTGTTCCCAAAACAGGAACGGGATCCCTGAAGGGAAATTGGGAAGCCCCCGCTCTTCAAATTTCTGGCACAATAACCGCACCTGCAGATGGTATAAAGCTGTGATATTATAATGAATTCCACTGTCACATGTATCTTGTTTCTACAGAGATTTCTATGAATGCTGCATAACCTGTGCAACTGACAAAAGATCATGAAATAAATTAAGAAAGAAAAATCTATAGCCCTTAAATGGTTAAGGTAAAGTTGTTTCCTTAGCCTTAACACTAGATGGAGGTCAGTGCTTCATGTTGTATCCACTTTACCTCCATGAGATAGGCAACCCCATTACCCACGGGATGATGGCTGGGTGGCAGTCTCCACTTGTAGCAAGCATGAAATCTTCTGCCTCTGCCAGGAACTGAACCCTGGTCATCCAGCCCATAGCCAGTTACTTTGCTAATGTAACCCTTTTCATGTTGATGGAAAACATTTGTAGGCTCTGGGCTATTTTGTTCATAAAATGATAAGAACACAGAATTTCTGTTTTCAGAATATGGGCTTAAAAATTAAGAGATTATAAAAAGATTGAGATCTTCGGAAGTTTGCTGAAGAAAATTTTCTTTCATTTTAAAGATTTGTTAACAAGTGAAACCTTATCATATACCTGCGCTATAAGATGTATGATGTGCTGCGTGTCTCCCAAACCATGCAAGTAGAAGGGCAACTGTGTGTATACCAGAGGCGCAGACTTGGGGATTTTCAGCTCAAAATCTTCTGCAGCATGATACCAAGGTCGTGGTTCTGGGTGCAGATTTCCCTGTGATGCTCCATATGCCCAAGCATCATTAGATGCCCAAGCACTGAGGTAGTTGTAAAATGCTTTTGGATTAATGATTCCCTCTCCATCTACCAGCCTAACCTGCAAAATAAAATACCCAAGTTCCAGGATTGTGTTCACTAATGTTCAGTCTGTTTGCTTCCATTCAGGACGTGCCTGATTTTAATCTAGGCCAGGTTGTTTTTTTGTGATTTCTTCCCCCCAATTCTCCTTAAATAAACCACACTTACCTCTTTTCAGATCTTTACATGACTGCAATTCATACTTTTCCTCACATCTCATTTAACATTACATAACCAATGCAGTTTAACAAACATCATTAAATACCCTAAGAATCAATGATTTGGTTGTGCCACAATAAATGTTATAAAACAAATGACAACTTTCAATACTGAAGTAGTGTGGAGGCAGCACAATTCTTAGAAATATCTATTTTGACAAGAACAATTGAGAAAATGTTAAAGATCATAAGCCAGGCTTGTTTAAGTTCCTGAAGAGTATTTAACAAAGTAATGATTAACTATGATTGCATAAGGGATAGGGTCTGGGAACCTGAATAGTTAATTAACTGATCTAAAAATTACCTGTTTTTATGGAACCTAAATATTCATAACCATGTTCACAAAAGCCCACCATTAGATCCTACCCTGAAACACCTGAATTCAATCTGTACCTTGACACTGTTTGTCAAAGACTTGTTTTAGAATTATCTTGCCCCCTCCAATCTCAATAATTGAGAACAAAAACATTTTAAAGATAACTTTCCAGAAACATAATGCAGAAGCCTTTGTGAATCATGGCACCACAAATATGAGCTGCAGTTGCTCCATAACACTTGTCTACACCATCTTCGTGGATGTTACCTGAGTGACAAGTGACTTGTCAATGGGGTTGTCAACATGCCCAGTCTGAACCAGCAGTTTGTAGGCAAGGATCCCCTCATCCGATGCATTAGAGAACCATCGTTCCTGTTTTATGCTTCCCTGAGACCAGTCTCGGTCAAATGCTTTCTGTAATCCTGTATTTTGGAAAAGATATAAAAATAACAGTAGTTATACATCTAAAAATCACAGTTAAAGTAGAAAAAGCTGAGCTGAGTGAAAGAGAAATGCATATCATTCTGCTGTAACACTGAAATGACATTCATTTAGAATCAGTAACTGCAAGTTTAAGTAAAATGACTGTATGTATCTATTATCTAGCAACTCTATGATGACCTAAGAGGCATTCCACAGTTTCGTGTTTGATGCTGTTCTTTTGCTGGAGGAGTAAGCAGTGAAATGTTTGCAAAGAAACAATCTGGATATAAATTTTTCAAAGTTAACTCATAAACAATAAATTTTTTGTTTATACCATCATGCTTATGGGAGGTTTTGTTACTTCCAATCTCATCTTTGAACTCAGAATTATAACTAGATGAATGAAGAGCCAATATCTAAAATCCTTCCAATAAAAGGTTACTTAAATCATACAGATCACCAGTACAAAACTTAAGTAAATGAGGTTAGGGTTCTTTATATTTATCATTGAATCAGTGCTACAGTACTCTATGGAAAGAGAACTCCACAAAACATGGTGTAAAGACTGGGAGTGTAAATATTGGTATTAGTGAATTGTAGAAATCCAAAGGCAATGTTCAAGCAGCAGGAGATGGGTAAAATGAAGAGAGATACAGAACACAAATCCATGGGGAAGGTGAACAGCAAAGAAACTGGTTTGATCCCGGAAGTGAAGATGAAGGGGTCACCCACATTCTACAATTTTACAATTCCCATTTTAGATTATTATTATTCTTGATATCAGGGAGCTTGCATATTAAATTTTAATGCTAATTCACACATGCACAACATAACAAGATGACAACTTTCCCCTGAGCCCCAAATTTCTGAACAGGCACTATTTTTCAGTTTTATGACAAAGCTTACAGAATGGACAATTTGGGGCACTTAGGAAATTTATTGTGTGAGTTTATGTCTATAATTTATTGCTTAAAAAGTAGCTTTCATGTCTCATAATGTCTTACCTATCAGCCAGTCTCTGAAGAGACTGAGCCAGAATTCTGGAAGGCCACCATCATCATTCTTAATAATGTTTGGGACACGCATGAATGCCTCATGATACTCATAGAGTAACTTCTGATTGGTTGGGTACTCAAAATCTCCCTGTGTCACAGCATACATGTTATAGAACCCAAAATATTGGCCTTGAGCACTGAGGAATGCATATTCATCTGTGTTCTGGGGGACTATGTCAGTGAGATCAAGGCCGTCGGTAACTTTTGTGATTCCCCACACACTCCCTGCTAGTATCACCACTAGGGTCACCATAGACACCACCTGCAAGCATCACCATCCACATAATGTATTAAAATTACTGCTGTTCTGGAATACATTAGTCAGAAAATGTTATCAGCTGTTAACATTCCTAGAAGGTGGTAGAAATTCTGTAAGCTTTAGAATCAGTACTTTTCTACAAACAAGTAGGATATTATGACAATTGGCTTTCAGTCATGAAATATCAGAGAGCCAATAAATTACAGAACTGAGTTATTTTTCTTATACACAAATATCTCTTACATGTTGTTAAGCAAGACTGTATATGTAAATGTTGATGCAAGCATACTTTCACGGGTGATTTTGTGATGAGAGGTGCATAGTGTGTAGCTGCTAACTTTGTGAGGGACCAGCCCCAGCACTCATGCATAATGTGATGTCCACCACAACCTCCAACTGCCCCTTGTCCCTTTTCAAGGTCGACTGTCAGCAGTTCCCTTGTAGATCCTACCCAACATTCCTGTAACAGGATAGAATTACTATATATTTATGATCTGTATCACGCTGTTCCATATTAGAGGAAAAGTAATACAGACCTTCTCACAGTACACACACAATGTCTTAGCTGCTTCTCAGTCTTGTAGCATTTAACAATTTTAATGCTATGTTATTTTTATCATATTTAAATTTCAAAGTGGGATAAATTTGATTAACCATTTTGGCTTTCAGTTTCATTCAAAAAGAAATAAGTCGGCTACAAAACTATTCAATCAGAGACTGAGAGTGTGGTTCTTACAAAGTAGGCAGTAACTATACTTTCTAGGGGTGACAGTTTTTCTTATTTACTGTAGGAAACCATTTCAGTGCCACTCTCAAAAGACCCAACATATGAAAACATTTCTACTGAATTCCATACATTTTCTAGTTCTAACATTTGTATTTCCTGCTACTGTTAACACAGTTTCTCACCTCTATCACTAGGTGAGCATTTGTTTGCAGCAGTACAAAATGGTGCATATACTGAATAAAAACTGACTTTTGTACCATCACTTTAAGTAATCTTGGAGTTTTAAGCATCAAGAGAAAAGCCAAAATTGGTTGCTCATACACTCATTACCCAAGCAATTATGTCAAATGCTGTGTAATGTTGTTATGAGTGCAATGAAAAGCAAATGAACAAGATGTCACAATATTCACACAGTGTCGTGCTTGTAATTACTATGCAACTCTAGCAGTTGTGGCTTCAACTTGTGTTTGGTTGTTATCCCTGACAGATTCTTTATTGACTTCTTTCAGTATTGAACAGAAAACCTTTAAACAGACCATGACTGGATACTTCTTGTATCCCTTCCAAACTTACCATGCTCACATGTAACTTCTGAATATGATTCAACATTGTTGGGTACATTGAAAATTAATATTTTTCTCTTGTATCTTTGGCATTTATCAGCTTTATCAACTAAGATTTACAACTTTACTTCAAATATTTTTACTGTATTGAATTTTTAATAAAATCAAAGGACAATTTTAGACACTATGCAGTATGAAATGTGAAGTGTGAGTAATAGCCTTGCAATAATAAGCTATCATGTTAACATTAGACTTGTAGCAAGGTTAATGAGGTATGTAAAATTGCTGAGAACACATTTGGAAGACATATGGGTACACCATCCCACTCATGTAGTGTCAGCAGAAAAGTGCAGAACTCACAGGTGTCAAGGTCTGCATAGGTGCCACCTGCGGTGCCAACACAGTCACAGTCTGCTGTCTGTCAGGAGGAAGGGCTCGTGTGATTGCTTGAAGTTTCTTGGTTGGTTCTGGCACAACCTGTCCTCTCCGTCTACGAGCCACATGCACAAAATGACCAGCTGGGACTTGAGGCAGGGTGCAGCAAGGCCATTCAGAGCCTGTGAGGCCACCTGGCACACAGCAGCACAGCATGTCCACACGCCCTGAGCGCCGTCGTCGCAAATCAAGGCTGACAACAGCCGGAAAAACAAGTAAGGTGCACCCAAGATTGAATAGCACCAGAACTGCTGCCTGTGGTCAACAAGAAAAGTGTGTATCAACCCCACTGGAGGGAATTATATTTAGGGATTTTATGATAAAACTTGGCACAGAAGGCAATTGGCGAATGTCAGTTTCCAGCAACTGTTTCACCACAATTACACTGACAATTTTCTGAGGAATATCTGGCATGCACAGTACTTTGAGAGTTGGCTCTGTTTTTTAGTTTATTATCCTACAGACAAACACTGTTTTAGTTATGAGATTACTGACATCTGTGTAGCTAGTAGCAGATTCAGGGCTCTGCCTCCCTCAGAAGCAGAAAACCATAAAAATTATTTGTCATTAATAACATCTGATTGAAGGCGTCTGAGAACAAAGTGTTGAGGACAATATTCGGACCTACGAGAGAAGATACAAGAGGACAGAGAAAATTACATAATGACAAGCTTCATAATTTTTTCTGTTCACTACATGTTAGTAGTACAAATCAAGGAGGATGTGATAAGTGGGGCATGCAATACACATGGAGAGATGATAAATGCATACAAAATTTTAGTAAAGAAACCTGACAACACACATAAAGAAAATAATATTAAAACAGATATTAAAGAAATAAGATGTAAGGCAAGGTTCAGTAGTGAGCTCATGGGAACATGGTCTTTTAGGTTCCATAAAAGGCTCAGAATTTCCTGATCATTTGAGCTTCTCATGAAGGCCTCTGCTCCAAGGAATTACTTAATCATTATACTAACAAGCAGTCAACTGAAGATAAAATAGAATCACTTCTCAGAATGTTGTGGTATTTCATGTATACCTAAGACAATGGACAATGTCCTATGTACATCACTGTGAGGCCAAAACCTTCACAAAACAATTTCTGCTGCACTGAATTTGCTTGATCATAACTGCAGTTATTCACAGTGAGCTTCACACTCTGCTTACAGTATAAAGAGAAGCAGCTATGCTTACTTGTAGTGAGAAGACTCGCAGCGCTGGGATGGGAATAATTGCAGCAGCAAAGAAAGCACACATGTTGCTTAGTGAGGTAAGAAGAATGCTGAGGCCCGTCCTCTTGAGCACCATGCCCGTCTGTTCCTGTTCACATAAATTTTGTTTTGTTTCAGAGCTGGACATACATAATGCACCCAAATTATTGTTCTATTCTGTTGTGTGTGCAACAAACTTACATTAGGTTGGTACTGACTGTGAGATCCCTTATGACCCTGCTCTTGTTCTGCATACATGTGGGTCAATAAGAACATGTCATCAACACCAAGGCCTAAGGCCAGGAATGGCACTATCTGCAATAAAGGAGAAAGTGGAATATCAGTGTTCATACCATAATTCAGTATGCACTATTGTCTCCTAAATCAGGGTTATCCAACTTCAAACCACTGAGGAGCCTAACTGTACCTTATGCACCTACCCATGGGTAGCATTATAAAAAATATTTTTTAAATATATCAGTACAAATACCTGCCCTATTCACATCTATAAAGCACAAATTAAGAACTAAACCCATAAGTTTTAAAAACATTTATTGAAATTAAATGTTGCTAGATCAACACTACTTAAAAATCAGCAACTGAAGGTTTCCTATATTATACTCATATTGATATTGCATATGTTCATGGAATCATACTAATTCCATACATTTCTAAGTCATTTATTTTCAGCTTAAAAATTATACAGAATATTTAACTAGATCTTTTCCAACATTTTATTGACATTAACTGTGTTTCTTAAAGAAGAGGAATGTGTTTACACATGTACTGATGAAAGGACTCTCCCTATTGTCCAGACCAGCTCTGGGGCCTACTCAGCCTCCTACCCAATGGGTACCAGGGGTTCTTTCCCATGGAATAAAGCGGCCGGGGTATGAAGCTGACCACTCACCTCCAGCTAGTGCTGAGGTCAAGAAAATGTGGATCTATACATCCACTCCCCAATATGCCTTCATGGCATAGTGTTTAATTAGTTAAGCACAGGGACAACTGTACCTTACCTTACCTTTCAGGAAAGGATGGATACTCTCAGGCCATACAAAAACAGCTTTCTAAGAATGGACATAATGTTTATTTTTGCTCCTAGTGGCATAAGTCCATACTGAAATGCCACTGAAACTTGGCTCATCTTCAAAAAGGAACCAAAAAAGTGCTGAGTACTAAATTATCAGTCAAAATAAAACTTTACCGTGCAAAAGGGGCATATGAAATACGGCAGTTCCCGGGTTATAAAGTAAAAACAGGCAAAATTAACACTAGGGAATTTAATTTACAGCTTTCATTTATAAATTGAATTAATGATGAAATACTGTAGATCTATCTCAAAATTGATACTTCTTATATATATTCACTTTTGAGAAGCTGGCTGCATAAAAGGACTTTGTCCTTTCTTCCTTGATTAAAATCTAATAACTTCCCTGAACTTATACTATAACATAAGAATTTATTCAGGGAAATAATTAATGTGTCCCATATTAGGTTATGGGATACCTAAGTTGGCCCCTATGCAGTAAAACTTGTTTTGTCATTGTTATCCCTCAGCCTTTTCCAGAACCTGAAAAAGTTAGATACTGTCTATTGTTGAAAGCTGTTTGGTGTGCATCACTGGCTCACAGAAATGTGAACGTAATTAGTGTAAGAACTTAACAGATGAAAATGGCATCACAAATTGTCATGAGGGAGATGAAGGACTAGGTGGATAAAAAAAAAAGGTCGTGGCTTGATCAAGTGGTTAGATTGGTAGGACCACCTACACCAGTGGAAATGCCAGTGGATGACCCTGACACTGAGAAACAGAAAAATTTGTGTTGGCAGAGAAAATTCTTGATCTCCCAAAAGGTATTAGCCATCATAACACATAATTTAGTGTCATTTGTTGAAAACAAGTTAAAGACTTTCAGAAGCTGACAAACGAGTGACTAGTTAGCATGGACATACTTGTGTGGTAGAAGCATTGAAAGCAATGCCCAGCAAAGCACAAAAGCCGAGTCCAGCTGCGACTGTCATGGACACGAGGAGAACTCCAGCCAGACTCACTCCAGCCTGTGACCGCACAGGGTCATGCCACCTCAGCTGAGAAACTCCTGCATATGCCAGCTGTAACATGCAAAGAATGTGCTGCACTGCCATCTCAATTATTCATTACATTACATTACCACAGCGTGTTATTCCATAAGTAATGTTCTTGACTCCCATTTCAAATATGATGCTTTCTAAAGACACACCTACAAAGTAATCAACTGACTCCTCGAGTTCTTAATGATAACACAATAGTTACTGCAGCCTATGGAAAAATTCTTTGTCACATACATCACCACTGCTGAGAGAACCACAAATCCAACATCCTCTCATCTGGCAGCATGTAATCAATGCATATGAAACAATTAAAATATGCAAGGATGAATCAATCAGCATATTACTCACCATGGATATGTATCCAACAATAACTTTGACTATACTGAGCTCCGAGAATTGACTTAGAATGTCATTTAGGGTTGCAGTTGAGAAAGCATATACTTCATAGGGTGCTGTGCTGTTGTCATTTGTTAAATATCGACGCACCTCCTGAAACAGGAAGTAGACATTCAGTGATCTCTAAAAATTGAATCATGAAAAAGGAAGCTCAGCCACTATGAACTGAAAGCTGTTTCTTTAGCGCCTCCCTGTCTTGCAGCTGGGCTACACTTGAAGGGACTTACATATAACATTTAGCACACAATAATGCTGTCTGCTTTTACTGTGACTGCTATTCACGTCCTCTTCAGCTACCATGAATACATACCAGGCTGAAGCATAGAAAAAAAGACATTACAAAACTGCTGTGACAGTGTCAAGTGAACCGAACTGTTTCCAAATAAAATTCAGTCATAAACTATAGGGACAACTGGGCTCCTGGCAGGAAATTTCATAAAGCGCTGGATAATTACTGACTGCTATTGGAGTTGGAATGTTACAGTAGAAGGCATTAAAGGTGGTTGTGTTTTGTGGTTTATTTTATGACATTGTCAGTATCTGAACTGTACAGTCTTGAATGGTAGGATGAATGATGAACTGGAAAGGAACTGAAAGGATGGGGAAAGTGAAAACTGTAATAGAGTTTGAATCATAAGTGAAGGGGAGAACACCACTGGAACTTTCATGATATTGCCGGAGAATGTGATGTGACTGAAATCAGGTTTCACACTTGGAAATGTGAGAGAATAGATTCCAGTGAAACAATTATTCTCAGTAATGACACTGCTTATTAAAAAGGAAAAATCAGTGAATAGCACTGCTGATTCCAAGAAAAGTCTTGTTAAAAATATTTCAGGCTCCAGTCTGAAGTTGAAACATGTAGTATCTTCATTGGGTGCATCCTATTTTGTGTTTCAGACACACATATATATATATATATATATATATATATACACGTGGCAGAGTCATGCATGTAAAACTGTATCTCTTCCACACACATATTAAATGCCTGATGATAGTCTTGTATGACCGAAACATCTAGCAGGAATAAAAAATTGAATTGTTAAACATAAAAAAGTGAGTCTATTTGTTGTGTGATTGTTAACCTAATTCCTATGTACTATATACAGGAAGATCGAGAAGTCGCGCACAACACACTAAGCAATTATAGCTTGCTGGTTTAATGCACAAACTACAAGACATACAGCACTTACTATTAACGTTAGCAGCCTCCATAGTCTAGAGGTAACGTTCCCACCTCATGACTCGTTGTACGCGGGTTCAAATACCCGGCGGAGGTCGTCGAATTTTTAAGGGCGGAAAAATTCAGGGAACAAGTCCTCCGGGAGGGACTTTAAGCTGTGTGTCCCGTGTCATAACTTTACGGCACGTAAAAGAACCTCATATCCCCAAAGGGGATCACTGAGCCAAATTCCAGGACGTTTCCCGCCCAACAATAGTCTCTAAGGCCTCTGATAGATGGGGGAAGCATTATAGACACCGCTAAGCAAGTGGCCGAACTCGCTTGCTCGGCGGGACTGATGGTACGCACCATTTATCGGTAGGGTACAGAGACTGGTAGAATATCATTGAGGGAGGCACAATAGATCAAACTGGTTGCGGTGCATGGGGAAACCCACCCTCTCTAAATAACTAACTAACTAACTAACTAACTACTATTAATGTTTATAACCTTACTGCAAAATCAAATCATATCTTTACAACATATGCTCAAAATGGCTTCCCTGTTCAGCAATGCATGCGCGAGCTCTTTTTACCAAGTTTGAGGCCACTTTGTGGAGCACCTGTAAACTGATGCCATTAATCGCCATCGTAATGTTCCTCTTGAGGTCATCCAGTGGATGCGGATTGTTTTTATAGTCAATTCCTTTGAGGTACCCCCAAAGGAAAAAATCTGCGGGCGACAAACCGGGCGAACGCGAGGGCCACACTCTTTTCGAAATGAGACGGTCAACAAAAAACTCACGCAAGAACTGCAATGGTTTCATTAGATGTGTGACATGCGGCACCGGCTTGCTGCAACCAACACTCACGTTCATCAACTTCAAGAAGCGCAATAAACGGTGTAATGATGTCTTGGTACACTGGACTGTTCACTGTTGTTTCAAAGAAAATTGGGCCCACTATTCGACGACGTGATACAGCACACCACACTCCAATTTTCTGACAGTGCAAGGGCGTTTTGTATAACATGTGGATTTTCAGATGACCAAATCCTATTGTTTTGACAGTTCACGTAGCCACTAAGGTGAAACGACGCTTCGTCAGTGAAGAAAACCAGATCAAACTCTCCAATTCCATGGTTGCCAACAAATGTCCGAAACCATCTACAGTACATTAAGCGTTTTTCTTTATCCAGGTCCTTCAGTTCCTGCACATAGCGAACACCATATGCACGAAGGTGTAACTTCATCACTTTCTGAGCACTTCCGTACGAAATCCCTGCTTTTGCTGATAGTCTCCTCAGGCTTTCTGAAGGGGAACGCTACAACATTCTCTCCACGTCAGCCAGTCTAGCCTCAGTCAAAATGGCCGGTCTCCCACATCTCTTCCTATCTGAAACTGATCCACAGTCCCGAAATTGGTTGATTATTCTTGTTTTCGTCGAATTGTTAGGAACTGCAGAATGCAGATATTCCCGACGAAACTCGTCTGCGACACATGCATAAGAACAACTGGTGAAATAATGTTCCACCATGAAAACGCGTTGTTCTTGGGAAAAAGACATGTCTGTCACGCAATAAACAAAGCTATACTGCAGACATCATATGACCGATACACGACAGATGGCGTTTCTACTCACTGTTAGTACTCCTATAGTACCATCTTGTGGTAGAAGATATAATTCTATTAACTGCAAAACAATTTATAACAACTTTTAGTTTGATGTGCGTGACTTTTCGATCTCCCTGTGTATGTATATGTACGATATATATATAATGTGAGAGAGAGAGAGCGAGAGAGCTAGAGAGACATGTAGCATGTAAAACTGTGTCTCTTGCCCAAAACTGCCACGCTGACAAATCAATCAATGGAGCTATAATATAAATAGAGACAGTATTTATGGAAGTACCTCTGAAAATCGCCTCTGCCATGTTTCGAGGACTAAGGCTGCCTTCTCTTGTGTCCATTCTACGTGATGGACCTTGTATGTGTCGGACCAGAAGTCAAACATCTCCCGCTCCCCCATGAGTTGTACCACTGTTTGGAGAGCATGTGCCCTGTACACAAAACATTATATCATGATCCGGTCCACAAACCATCAGTGAATATGAGGAATTTTGTAAGTTGCAAAGCAACTGCATTACCTCTGTATGTGCCCAGTCTTGTTCCGAGTTGCACCTCCCACTATTAAGTCTTCTGGCCAGTGCATGTATTTAGCTGCAAATCCATAGCACCCACCTGTCAGTTCTGCCCCAATGTCTGGTATCTGTAACAAATCACTGTTAGTTTCTCTTACTTCTCGAGGTCAGTACTTATTTAACCTTAAACCATACTTCCAACTAGTCTATAGTGCAAACTTGTGCTGTTTCTGAATTCATAGCAGTAAGATGTTTACTTGACTCAGGTTAGTCAAGTAATACAGAATTCAGAATGTTAATGTACAGCTAAAGCTTGCTGTTGCTGGTACTGTTACTCAGTAAAGTCAAGATGTAACTATTTGTAACAGATCATTTGAAAATCTTCATAAATATACGTATCTGGGATCAATAACAACAGTCAGAAATTGAGTTCACCACGAAATTAGAATAGAATTTGGGAAATTCTTATTATTCGGTCAAAAAACTGACACCGTTCATGTTATACACATGCGCACACACACCATAAAGATGTATGTAGGAATGGAGGTACAGTTCCACATAAGTTTCAGCCTCAATACAGAATGGAGGTTAATGGTACAACCACTTTACACCCAGGACCCATAAGTGGGTCCCACAGCCAGTCTGGTTTTGCAAAGAAGAAATAATCTGTTGCCTTTTCAGTATTTTCACCCTGATTTCACGGTCGTGCAGACTGTAACCTAGCTATTATACTGACCGAGCTAAAAGTTCCATCTTAACTTAAGTCATGAGTATCTGCCTAGCAGCTACACTATCTCCCATCTGCATGTGTTCTCCCAGTCTCACCAACTGCCACCTATTCTGCATTCAAGGGCCCTTTCTTTGCCCTTGCAGTACATCTTTGTTACTTCATTTGTGCAGAATATGTAATTGTAACATTTACTTTAAGTGTCATTATATTTTCTGAAAGTCTATGACAATGATAGAAGCTGGGACAGCACCGTCAGTATAGAGACTGGCTACAGGCTGGAGTTCAAGTCCTGGTAGTGGCAAGAATTTTCACTTCTCCATGTCCTCCAGACCGGCCTTGAGGCCCACCCAGCCTCCTATCCAATGGGTACCGAGGGCTCTTTCCACAGAGGTAAAGCGGCCCGAGTCGTGAAGCTCACCACTCACCTCCAAATAGTGCCATGGTCAAGAAAACCTGGATCTATACATCCACTCCCCCACACCCCTTCATGGCGTAGTGCTTAATTAGTTAAGCACAGGGACAGCTCTACCTTACTCTGCCTATGATAAAGATAATCGCAAGAACATTGAATCAGAATTACATAACAAGCTCCAACCTGCTGCAGCTGAGAGGGTGCTGGTGCTATTGGCGGGGAGGCAGTTGTGCAGTGGTGGTAATGGGGAGGAGGGCAAGCACTGGGTTCATTGTCACTAAGCCAAGTGTAGAGATGTTGTGCCTATGGGTTCTACTACACGAAAATTATTATTATTATTTAGATCTAAGCTTGAATACATGTGCGTCCCTTGTCTGGAATTCAGTTATCCATCCAGCAGAGGTTTTCAGCCTTTGTTTTAATCGTTTTGTCCAGTGCTGCTATTTCCTTGTTTTGGAGGAGTTAAAATTGCATAGTTTACATATGAGGAAACATCACCTTGATGCTCTCTCATTCAAATTTACTTTGGTTCTAAATTCTGTCCCTCTGTTTTGGAAATTGTTGGTCTCCGAGTTCCTGCTCGGAGACCAACGCTCGTGGTAACTCTGTAATTGGTCTCTCGTTTGTTAAGTTTGCACGTTAATAAGCAAGAACTAAACTGAATTGAATTACTGCTGCTGTCAACAGGCGCATGTCCTGCGGACTCTTTCATCTAAAGGACAATACGCAGGATTTGTGCTATGTGACAAGCGTGAGCCTCCCCAACTTGTTTTCCCGTATTAACGAGCGATAACCTTGCTACTTCTCCACTCGTTAAGTTACGACCTACCGGAGGCGTTGACACCGGTAAAACTCAACAATTGCACTGTCCAAACTGGGAGGAAGCACTTGGTCTGAGTGGGAGTTAGACCTGACCCGACGCGCCGCGCCCTGTCGTCACTGGGCGGGTTCCCACAGCACAACACGACCTGTCTGCCGCACAACCCCTCACCCCTTCCTATTCTTATCTGTATCATCTCATGACGATAGGACCGCCACGAAAAGAACACCGATTCGGGAAGAAAGAACGACAGAAGGCAGAAGAGGAGAGAAAGAAAATATATTAACGGAGGAAACAAACGAGAGGGATTGAGAGAATGACTGGAGGAATGGAAAGGAGAACTAATGATACAGGAAGAAATAATGGATATGTGAGAATGTAGGAAAATATCCTCGGTTGCTCTTTGTGTCTGAAGCAAAATGAGGTCCTCTCCTCTGTCAGAGAAGGAACTTAAGCCTAAGGTTCATCAGCGCTGACGGGCCTAGACAAAGAGCGTTCTGTGTAAGAACCGTGACAATTTATACCGGTGGTCTCCATTTTGTGTTTTACAGGAAGCCAAGTCCTGCGTAAACTGTGGTACATCTTCACCTGCGAAAACCTGTAATTAAACAGTGTTTAACTGTGCTGACCGACACTTACCTGTCTGGATAACTTGTTGGGGGCAGTGGGTGGACACTCGGAATCCCCTGGGTCAAGGCACGGCTTTTCTTGATAACCCGAACTTATCCCCGCCTGGAACAACAACAGCGGTTCTCAAATCCCTGAGCAGGAACTGTGGACAGTGGCCTGATTGCTTTTAACGTATGGTCATGTACATTACTGGTTACTTGAAGAACAGCACTGTCTTCCGGGATGTGAAGTCATATAATGTGGCACAAGCCCACCGACGTTTCGGAAGAACATAGTGCCTCCATCTTCAGCATCGGCAAGCAGAGTCACTGGCGTGAAAACTTTAAACCTTTCATACTTGCTACTCACTCCTTCGGCTCCTGCCAGCGCGAAACCAAGCAAAAAGCCGGGATGGTGAATGTGTGCAGTCTGCCTATGGAAACTTGACAGGTAACATTATGCACAGCCAGAAGCGCGCAGAATTCCCCAGCAACAACTGAAGGGAGGAAGGCGAGTTGGACTGGAGGAACAACACGTCATCCACTCGAACTTTTCTGTGAGGTGTACGCGATGCAAATTGACAGCAGACTGGAAATTAAATTGCGAATGACAAAATTTCTGAAATTTAGAAGGCCCTGCATTCGAACACAGACAGGTTAATAAAGCATTTCATAGCCGCTTCGGTTCTGAGTTCGTTGCGCTCGGTTGGGACACGCGTCACTCTAATAATTACATCGCGTAATATCAAGTCATGAACGTAACGAAAACACGCACCAATAAGCGAATTTAACATAACAGAAGGTACCACAAGATGGATGCTCTGAAACATACACGTATTCGAGACTGCTTTCGGAATTACCCACGCTCTGTACACCTCACGTGTTTTGATGTTTATATGCGCAATGAGGGACCACAGTAGTTCATTTGGTAGAGCATTACGACTTGTCTAGTTACATAACAAACAGATACAGGTCAGTGTGTCAAAATTATCAGGTATACAAAGAAAGCAGACGTGGCAGAGACCCATAACAGACCCGCCTGTTGGTATAAACATCTGGATTTGACTGTAATTAAAAAAAAAAAAAGTTAAATGTCACTTTAAGCCTAGAAACTTGACTGGGCGAGGTCCTACGTGGCGGAAACTGTTTTCAGTTTTGTTAAAATTATAACTTCAAAGCTTTACATATTTGTAATTTTCTATATAGGAACAAATGTTTCATGCATAAAGTGTAGATAGAATTCTACCCTCACATCTAGCAGACTTCAAATTTCATTATTACTGGATAGCTGAAAATATTTCAGTAGTCGCCGGGTTGTTACTTCCCTGATCTTAACAAATGTTTAATAATTACACATACGTTCAGGGCCATGCGCTGAATAGCGCTAGTGTTAATAATACCAGACACATATTCTGACCCCGGATAAGTTCAAAGACCCGCTCCGTTCTGTCCGGTCCAGAACTTTACGGCAGCTTTTCCATTAGTTTCGTGCTTGCAACACCCAGCAGCGCGCTGTCTTACAGGACTTCCCCGTCTTCTTCCTGCTTACGCCTCTGGCTGATCCGATTGAACACTGTACCCGTCTCCAAAGTGATATCATTGAAGGCAGAGCTGCTGTTCAAGGCGACCTCTCGGCGCATGAGGTCCTTGCTGGGATTCATAAAACTCCACCAACTGGTCCTGGATTCAAAACAACAAACTCCGTGGCCTATAGTCCGCAAGGAAACTATTCCGACCGAGCGACCGCCGAATGTCGGCGAAGCTAGAGACAACTTTAGCGGATATAGGGTGTCGCGTGGTCAGCGCAACGGATCCCCACGGCCGTTTATCTCGGTTTTCTAGACCGGAGCCGCTATGAAATACCTCCTCAATTATCCTCACGCGGCTAAGTGGACCCCGTTCCAGACCCACTACTTCTCAGAAAATCTAGTAGAGCCGGGAATCGAACCCGGGAACTCTGGATCTGAAGCCAGGAACTCCAACCACTAGACCAAAGAGGCGGTCCCGAGTTCAGTAAAACGATAAACACAGGACATGAGGTCCTCCCCGTCACACGCTCTTTCCTTTCAGAAGCCACTGAAAAAGTTTTCTTTGGCTGACTGCGCAACAGGGCATGGTATCGAGGCTATTACGTTTAGGGTAGGTCCTACGTTTGACTAACAAGGCATTCAAGAATCTGGAATCGATCGAGTGATTGTGACAGACTCTTTCTAACGATTTCGGCACCGTAGGGCTCTATACCTCCTTACAATCCTGATAACGGAAACGAGTGTGCTTACCGAAATTTCTTCTACGTATGTTACTTCTTCTTCGTATGTTACAGTACCCAACACAACGAACTATTATAATAGTTCGTTGTGTTGGGTACTGTCTACTGTCTACAGATTTAGGATAATTATCCTAAATCTGTAGACAATCATCAAGAAAATCTGTCTGGAGTATTCACACGTGATCGCCAACCGAAACCTGACATCTGAGCAGTGAACTGCAAAGTATCTATCAACCCGCCTGCTTTCTTGTCACCCCTGATCACGGCTTACTGTACACCCCTGAGTTGCGCGCGGTAATAAGGTAGCATGGGGACCACCCATCTTGCCCAGACGAGGAGAGACAGCTGCTCCTCAGACAACCCGTCCCTAGGGCCCTCCGAGGTACCCACAAGCGGTATTTGCGCTCTCCGTGAGGTGTGACAGAACTGGCGCGCGTCACTTCGCTTCATCGGGTACATAAATCACAAGAATTATTCTCTTCCTTTTAATGTCTCGCGCAACGATGCGACATCTGGAAATGCTTCCACAGCCAGGAATTGCGTGCAGTCTCTCGGCTGTTTGCAGTAAACTGATCTCTCCACGCAGCGAAAGCCCTGCAGGTGGGAATAAAGCAGCTTTCTTTCCTATTTGCCTTTTACAGAGAATTGTTTACATTGCGGTTTTCTGGGTTACGACACCCTGCAGGCTCGTAGGTGGTTGGAGCGCGTTCCAGGTCTCCTGTCTCACATGCAGAAACACATTTCAGTGCTTCAATATGAACCCGACCGAAAAGCGCTGCCGTCAAACTGTCGGATTGATTAAGTGCCGTGTATTTCGCTGTCACATTAATGCAGTCCAGAGAGATATTCTCAGTGTGGCCCTTTCATCTATACTTGGCTGTTTAAAAAACTTTTGTTGCGTAGTTAGATCAGTGGGTCCCAATCTCTTTCAAAATGTATAACTGTTTTTTCCACAGGATCTCAAGCAACGACGTTTTCAGAAACGACAGTAAAAAATACAGGCAAGGACACTTCCATCCTTCCACTCGTTGCTGCGAACAGTGCAATTCCCTCGTATTTTCCTGAGTCCCCTCTCTCAAGGAAACACTGGCGCACGTATTCGTCGCGCTTCTAACAACCTTCATTTGTGAAGAAGCAGACAGTGGACCCGCACGAGACCACAAGGTTCTGTACGCAGAAAACTATACTCCAAGTTTTCATAATCGGGAAAATATCAAATCTCATACAAGTAACTGCTTTGGTACTGATATAATTAGGAAGTCTTTCATAGCTGCACGGAAGCACGCGGTAGCGTAGTTGGTTGAAGCACTATGTCACAAGCCGGAAGGTCGCGGGTTCAAGTCACGATGAGGTGGATATTTTCAATTGACCTAATCCTTCCAGCCGCAATATGGTGGCCCTGGGGTTGACTCAGCCTCTAACAGAAATGAGTACCAGGAATATTCTTGGAATGTTCTTGGGGGTAAAGGGCGGCCGACGCGTAGGGCTGACAACCTCACCACCATCTGTGAGCCGAATGTCTAGAGCAGTGTTTCTCAACCGCCGGGCCCTCGTCTTACAGAAAAAAAAAAAAAGAATTTACCGAGCCCCGGCCTGACAAAAGTTGAGGACCACTGGCCTAGAGAAAATGTGGGACCCTCGACGTGTCAAAACCCTATGGGCCTTCACGGCCTGTCACAGGGATAGCTTCACTGTTGCACAGATTAAACAGCGTCAACTGGTAGGGTGTGTGTCAACCGTGCGAAAGGAATCAGATTATCTTGCCACAACAGCTTTTTCGTAGATGGACTGAGTAAAATAACAAAAATACTCAGCCTAACGAAACCTCAAGCCGCGACTCGAACCCGGGAGCCATTACACAGCGATATTCGACCATATAAAAACTTACAGTGGAGAAAAAAAAAACTCGATCTCAGTACTTTCTGGGTAGATGACCCCGAGTCTAAACAAGCGGGTTTAACGAATGTTGTCTCTGTGTGGGTTCCTCTCGCGCCTGAATGGTTCAGCGAATACATTACTTCCTCTTACACAAGGAAACACTCACCCTTTTCATGTAGTCTTCTAGCGTGTCGAATGGGAACGCTGAGCCAAAGGGCTTCATCTGTTGGATCAGTTTCTGGGGATTGAGGTTGGTCCAGCGCACCTTGGAGCCCACGCCTCTACATATAAGGGCACATCCGTCAGTAAGGAACACAACATATAACATGAAGAAAGCAGTGATGACCACATGGAGACATACTTACGGTATGTTAACAGGATAATCTGGTCCCAGAAGTTTTGAGCCGTCCCAGAAGCAATCTAATGGCGTTATAATGGCACACGGAATTATATTTTCGAATATCTGAAAAACAGAGAAACTACTGTACTGAATAGTTCATTTATTAACTTACTCATGGAGCTGAGCCCTTCTTGAGAAGCCGCCAATTCTGCAGCTACTCAAGAATTTCCCAACATTTTATGGAACCCGAAGGTTCATACCGTGTTCACAAGAGTCCTCCACTGGTCCCTATCCTGAGCTAGATAAAATCCATTCCATACCATCCCATCCTATCTAAGATCAATTTTAATATTTTCCACCCACCTACGCCTTGGTCTTCATAGTGGTCTCTTTCCTTCTGGCTTTCCTACCAATATCCTACATTCATTATTCTTCTCTCCCATTCGTGCTACATGCCCTGCCCGCCTCATCCTCCTTGACTTGATCATTCTAATTATACTTGGAGAAGAGTTTAATTTGCAAGGTTTATGCATGTATTCAGGCTTATACACTTACATAGATTATAATTAGTCTATTTTCGATCGTAATTACATACTTCTGCAGGCTTGAAGGATGTTGGGCCACTGTCTGAAGCCTGCGTGCTGTGTGACATGCCATGTGAATATTGTTTGTCGCACATAAATCTAAAGGCTTACACATGTTACTGGGGACGCACTCTCACCTGCGACTCTTTTATGTGACTAGAAATGACATAGACAAAGCCGTTCATCTGGTCACTGTTAGCCAGTGCACGCAAAAAGGGACCAACTCCGTGCGGTAAGGTGGAAGTGTAAGAAGTTCCCACTGCAGTTCTTGAATTCTCTTGTGGATAAACGGAAATTTCAAACGATATTATATTTTTTTCTGCCATTTTCTTTCATGGTAATTCGAACCCCTTACATCAACTCAACATCAACAACCGGACATGCAATATGCCCAGGTATTTCTGTCATCTTCAGTCCTCTCATTAAATTACCGAATCAGCTCACATTTCACGCAACCATCGACACCAAAACCAGGATAAACTAACCCTGATTTAAATAACTCATGGGCATGACGAGAAGCACCATCAACAACGCCTTCAAGATCAGTGGCTTTAGGAGACTTACTGGCATGTCAGTTAAGCCAAGGGAAACAGAGGAGTCACGCAGTAATTCCACTCGGGAGAATCTGCACATCCTCTCAGCGATGCCTCACTCAATACTGCAACTCTGCTGGGTACAGAACCCAGAATGTGGAGGAACAGTGGAATGGTGGTTATGTTCGTGCAAATGGACTTGTGGCAGATATGCTGACATGAAATGAGGCGCGATGCATAACAAAACGAAACTATAACATTTGCGCGTTTGTTCTCGTGTACAATTCAAACACGCACTGGCTCGATTAATCTGTTACGATGAATCCATTCATTTGTCTTCTTTAGGTTCAAATATTTTTATTTGACATTTTGATTTGAAATATGTCGACACTCGAAATAAAAGCGCTCAATTAACATATTCTTTCATTGTCTCCTAGTGGCCCATTTGTGTTACATAACTGCAAAAACTACCACATTATCACTTTTCCTGGATAGTCTCTTTCCAAAAACAGAGATACCATGTATGCGACCAGAAGACGAGGAAAAAGATGTAAGAAGATGCTGGATGACTTTGGGGACAGAAGAGGATATTCTCATTTGAAGGAGAAAGCTCTAGATCGGATTAAGTGGAGGAACTGTTTTGGAAGAGACTGAGGCCCTGTCGTCTAACAGATTACTGATGAATGAATGAATGAATGAATGAATGGGTGAATGAATGAATGAATGAATGAATGAATGAACGAACGTTTGCTACTTGACGCTCTACAGTCATTTCAATAAGTACTGTTAATTAAAAATCGTTACAAGAAATAAATAACACGTCTGCTTACTTGGTCTATGTAGTGTACATCGAAGTCCGGAATACTGGGCGAATAACACATGTCTTTCAGTCTCCAAGTTCTGAAACAAGAACAGGAAAGCATTATTTTCACTACTGAAGTATTCACCTCAGAAATATGCAGCCCCGCCATGCTTCAGTAGCACAAGACTCGTTCAGCAGTATCCATGTTTCATACCCAAGTTTCACCTGAGTTCATTAAACAGGGCTACTGAGCCTTGTTCCTCAGAACCTTGCATGGCCAACGTTCATGACAGGGCATCACAAATTGGGATTCACTGACGTACATCTTTGCTCTGCCTTCAGGGAACAAGCAAAAGAGGACACTCACTCTGACACACACTTACACAATGGGCGTTGAGTCCGTGGTTTCTTTCCTCGAATGGCAGCCAAATAAAACATGATTTCCAACTCGTTAAACATGCAAGATGTAACATCGGTGGTTCAAACTTCCCCAATATATGTAACAGATGGAAAATGTCCCGTAATAAATGTGTGAATAAGTTTATGAGCTATTTAACATATAATTTGACAAGCCCAGATTCTTTACTTGAAACGGGTATATTTCACGTTGCCGTTACATACACAAATATCACCTAAAATTCATACTTCTCTGAGATCTAGTACCACAGTAAGGTCGGTCGGTATAGTTCGCTTGGGGACTAAAAGCCACGGAGAGTACCACAGTAAAATTCAAGATACTACACCGTGTGGCGCTAGCATCGCTCTCAATTTAGTGCATACAGCCAGCCATTTTGGTAAATGTTGAATTCAGGGCGAAGAATCTTGGTTCGATTCCCGAAAAGGGCAGCAGATTTTTCTCTTCTTCACAGCGTCCAGAACTGCCGAGGGACTCATCCAGCATATCTGGTGCTTACAGGGGGCTCTTCCCCCTGGGGTGAAGCGGCCAGGCTTGAAGCTGCCCATTCATATCCACCTAACGCCAAGGTTTGGAATAACCGAGCTATACCTCCACTCCCCATACGTCTTCGTGGCGTAATTACTTAATTAAGAACAAGGACAATTATCTATTTATCTTTACAAAGATGTATGGCCCCTAGCAGCATGGTGTGCATTCGCGAGTTCGTAAAAATCTGCCACTTAACTTTTCGGGGATAGGACATGATGCTATAATAACATATTGTCACGTGTATTAGTGACTAACAACGCGGGTTCTGGATTGGATGTACGAGTTTATTTACTCCTTACACACACCACCAGTAATTACACGTAATTATAGCGCTATCGCCATTTCTACACTTCATAATTCACTGTTACACACACAGCAGTCGTCTCCTGGTAACGCATATAAAACACAGAAACTGTAACAGTCTCACTGAATCACACACTCCACATGAAGTCTTCTGTTCACAACCGCACTCTTGCAACTAAATCTTAACTGCACTGCACTGCAATCTGCACTAACCTAAGCCACAAGAGGTCTTCGTTATATTGGCTCCGCACGGGCCTCACAAAAAAAAACACAAGTCACGTGATTCCTACTCAGCGAGTTCACTGGCGAGCTGACGGTTGCCTAGCAACGAGCTATAACATTCGTCCACTAAGACAGCTTCCACTGTTGCACGTTGGAATGTGTTTACGGAGCCGTTGCCTAGAAACGCTTTGAGCAAATCCGTTACAATATAATTCCTTTCGTAGTAAGGAAAATGCAGTAAAAAGGAACGTCAGAATCGGCGAGTGCGCTGTGTCTCGTTCTTCAGAAGCGAAAAAGACAACCGAAAGACAATTTGCTCTCGTGTCATGGCTCCACATCATGAGATAACTTTCCTTTCTGAGGCATATTCCGGTTATCTTGAATTCCTCTATTCAGCTGAAAGGGATACCAGGCCTCCTTCCACATCCACTGAGTTCATTATTCAGTAATCATATTATTACTCGACGCTGGGCTACTGACAGCATCGTCATATTAGCGATAAATAAACATGAATTGCGTAACGGCATATTTAAGAATATTTTAGACAAAAACACAAACTCCGTGGCCTGTAGTCCGTAAGCGAACTATACAGATCGAGCGACCGCCGCTTGTTGGTGAAGTTAATGCCAGCTTTAGCGGATAAGGGGTGTCAGGTAGTCAGCGCAACGGATCCCCATGGCCGTTATCTCGGTATTCTAGACCGGAGCCGCTATTTCCTTGAAACAGCTCCTCAATTATCCTCACGTGGCTCACTGGACCCCGTTCTAGACCCACTACTTCTCAGAAAATCTGTTAGCGCCGGGAATCGAACCCGGAACCTCTGGATCTGTAGCCAGGAACTCTGACCACTAGACCACAGAGGCGGTCACTTAGTATACAGTGCCTATTAACGTCTCCGAAGTGACAGAAGTCAAAGAAATTTGGTTAGGCCCAAATATTAGACAAAATAGAACAATTTTACACAAGGTCTCGCGGCAACGATAACCCGGAAGATAGAAAACAGGCAGTTTCGGATTAAGTTACATGCCGGCCCACGTCTTGGTGTAGGATCCATGGAGTCTTTATGTGCACAGATTAACAACCGCGAATGAATATAATCAAACAGAGTGACTCTCAGACCTGGCTATAAATGTAAAACCGCGTATACCTGAAATCCGCAGTGTGCAAAATCGGGATTTGCAAGGCACTGCTGTATATCTGAATGTTCAGTGCTGCTGGCCAACTGACGAGACAACCCACTCAGTGGAAAAACGTTTCTAAAACTGAAGCTCCTTTTTCCAAAACCGATTATCTGGGCGCCACAAGAAGCAGAGCGTCTAAGTGAAACGTTACAATACAATACGCAGCTACCAGCGGACGGAGGGTTACAAAATTCTCTCTTCACTGCCACGTCCCAGAGGGTCTGAGGCTCGACACCTTTCTATTCAACGGCTGCCGCAGAGAATTTCCCCGCAAATACTTGTAAATATAATTTTAGTGTGTATCTGACCACTTACCCCCATGTAGAACCGAGATTATGTGGGATTTAACTTCCATGGGGGAGTTTGGATAGCCATTAGCTAGGGGCTGGGCAGTCAAAGGTTCGGAGTTCGAGTCCCGATAGTGGCAAGATTTTCCTCTTCTCCACGTCGTCCAGACCGGTTCTGAGGCCCACCCAGCCCTTCTAAACCATGGGTACTGGGAGCTTTTCGCCTGGGGTGAGGAGGCTGGGGCGTGAAGCTGATCACTCACCTCCAACTACGAGTACTTCCGAGGTCGAGAGTAAGTGGATATACACATCCACTCCCCCATACGTTTTCATGGCCTGGTGCTTAATTACTTAAGCACATGGAGTTCAGCTTTTTTGCCTGTAACTTTCATGCCTCCATATTTGGACTCGGGTTGTTCCATGTCTCTCAGCCTAAGGACCCAACATTTCAATACAGAAGTCTCTGCATTGTTTATTTTACTTACGCTTAGTTTATTTAAAATAAATTTCAATAATTGAGATTATGTAACGTAGTAGCAGCTTAACTTGAGGTACTGTATCAGGGTATGTTATGGGGCGGACTGAAAAAAACCACGAAGGACCTCAGGCATGATAATAGGTCCCCGGGCTGAGATACTAACCCGGGACCTCTTGAATATGAAGCGTACGAGCTATCCAGTCCGTCGCGACTTTCGGTAAACAGGGATTGCTCGAACATTGATAGCATAACCTTTGGAGCCGGAGTTCGTGAAACAGCATGCAGGCCTATGGGTAGGAAGTCATCTGGCACAATTCATCGGAGAGCACGTCATTTTGCACGGCTCACATAACATCACTTACGGAGAGCTCGTAATTTTGCACGGTTCACGTAACATCACTTGCGGAGAGCACGTCATTTTGCACGGCTCACATAACATCACTTACGGAGAGCACGCCATTTTGCACGGTTCACATAACATCGCTTACGGAGACGTCATTTTGCACGGTTCACAGAACATCACTTGTGGAGGACACGTAATTTAACATCACTTACGGAGAGCACGTCATTTTGCACGGTTCACATAACATCACTTACGGAGGGCTCGTAATTTTGCACGGTTCACATAACATCACTTGCGGAGAGCACGTAATTTAACATCACTTACGGAGAGCACGTCATTTTGCACGGTTCACATAACATCGCTTACGGAGAGGACGTCATTTTGCACGGTTCACAGAACATCACTTATGGAGAGCACGTAATTTAACATCACTTACGGAGAGCACGTCATTTTGCACGGTTCACATAACATCACTTACGGAGGGCTCGTAATTTTGCACGGTTCACATAACATCACTTGCGGAGAGCACTAATTTAACATCACTTATGGAGAGCACGTCATTTTGCACGGTTCACATAACATCACTTACGGAGAGCTCGTAATTTTGCACGGTTCACGTACCATCACTTGCGGAGAGCACGTCATTTTGCACGGTTCACAGGACATCATGTCAGGACAGCACGTCATTTGACACAGTTTATAGAACACAGCTTACGGAGAACACTTCGTTTGGTACAATTATGAAACATAACGTACGGAGAGCACGTCACATGGCACGAGTTTACAGCTTGCTACATGAAACATAAGATAAATTCTTTACGAACAGAATAACATTTGGCACACTGTATCAATGGCATCTCATCGGACAGACGCATTAGAGAAAAAGCAATCCTGGAGAACTCAGTGTAAAGGACATGACATTCTGAAGAGAAACTAAACATGCGACTCACATATCGAAGAGCTGCACCGTGACGCTGGTGGCAGCCTTGACGACGTCCAGGTGTGACAGGAGCGCCGCAGGGTGAAGGAGCGATGCTTCGGGATCGCGTGGCGTCTGGATGACGAGTTGGTGGGTGCTGGCGTCTGCTTCGCCCAAAGCCGCCTGGGTGTACCGCAGTTCGCGCTCCAAACGACCGCCCTCTGCAGCACATACAAATGACGGAGCCATTTAAAGACGCTCTTCCAACTACATAGTATTCTCGCTGAGATGCAGTAACCGCCAATAGGCCTATTTATGTCCCAATATGAATGACGATTTTGAAGAAAGGATTTTTATTAAATTTCGCATCAAGAACGATCAATAAAATCACAACAGAAAATTGTATTTTTTAATTACGCTGGACAGTTAGGGTTATCACTTTAGTTCAGATAACAAAACAATATTTTTGCTGCGTCTCTTAAACATTCCCAACTTCGAAGAGAAAGAAAGAAAGCCGAAGAGAAAGAAAGAAAGTTTACAACTACAGTTACATCACACAAGTTAGAGGAATGACGGGCTGTACCATAGCTCAGGCGGTCAGTGACTGGCTTCCCACCGCGGTGGCCCGGGTTCAATCCCAGGTCAGGTCATGTGGGATTTGTGGTGGACAAGGTGGCACTGGGGCAGGTTTTCTCCGAGTACTTCGGTTTCCCTTGCCAGTTCTCATTCCACATACAATTCCAACCTCAATATCATCATCATCATCATCATCATCATCATCCGGGGATAGTTAGTGGCCGACGTACCAAGTTGACTCAGTCTCACCCCATCCCAAGAAACTAAAAAAAAAAACTTTAGAGAAACGATTTAGCTTTTGATTTCTCACCTATGGCTACTGACCACGTCTTCCCTGAATAATTTTGTTGTAATGGTATCAGCGAAAAATATTACTTCTGCCATTCGGTCAATTCCTTTGCAGAATTTCATCAGAGTAAACCGCGTGCGCCTCGCGCCTAGACACGATTTACACAAGAATAAGTTGGAATTCTAGGTCTGATGTGAACTCCCAAACGACCTTACACAGATAAGAATACAAATCAGCACGGGAAGTAACTTTCCGAATCAAACAGCTGGGCATCTCTTTGCACCATGCACTGTGTGGGGAACCACCGTCACGTTTCGAGCGCATTTTTCGTAGGCTTCGAACAGGACACACTCCAGAGCCGCTCGGAACGTGAAGCTACAACACAACAGGGAACAGACTACTACTACTGACTATGCCCCTGTAGCCGTGTACATGAGAACTATAAATTCGCGTATAACGGAACCCCGGAGAAGCGCATGTAGGCTACATATGTCTGTTAGGGCCGTGTTCAGATGCTGCGACTTACAGAGCTGCTTAAAATGTTCCGGTTCGCCTGTTTCTCAAATATTCCCTTCTAACAGCTTCTCTGTACTACTGTAAATTATAAACTCTGAACCCTGTACATAGTTTTACAGTAACAGCTAGGCTTAGCGCAGTGACATAGCTCAGACGGTTAATGGCCGCCTTCCAATCGCGGCGGCCCAGGTTCGAGCCTAGGTGAAGTCATGTGAGATTTGTGGTGAACAAAGTGGCACTGGGGCAGGTTTTCTCCGAGTACTTAGGTTCCCCTGCCAATTGTCATTCCACCGACTGCTCCACACTCATCATCTACTGTCCGGAGCTGGTACAAGAGGCCAGTTAGTGGCTGACGTACCAAGTGGACTCAGTCTCAACCATCCCAAGAAACTAAGAAACTAACAGCCAGGCTGATGAGCAATGCTCACCCACAGTTCGAGCCACTGGCAATAGAAATCAGCAGCTCAGTCGCTATAGCGCCCGGCTACGGTTTTCTTCTCCACAGCGTCCACTCGTCCCTGGGGCCCACCCAGTCTCCTATGCAGTGGGTACCGGGGGTAAAGCGGCCGGGATGAGAAGCTGACCACTCACCTCCATGAGTGCCGAGGTCAAGAACGGTGGAGCTATACCTCCACACCCCCATATGTCTTCACGGCACAGTGCGTAATTAATTAAGTCCATTAGGTCATGAATAGGGGCCAAGTTGTGTTTACTGGCTCAGCCGCTGTTTGCATGGCGCTCGTGTTACGAAGCCACACTTCATTATCAAAACAATGAGGGGGACAACATACAAGTACATCCACTTACTTGACGTGTGGTTTATCTTGCCTCTGTCGGTACCTCAAGCGGAGACTATGAAGAATGTGGTGCCGTATAGATCTTGTTTCGGAGGAACGCATCGTCTCCATCTTCAGGGTAGAAAAATCCGTGAGCGAGGAACCAGCGTGAGCAGGTGGCAGCTAGCGGATTTTTCTACCCTGCAGGTGAAGGTGACACGTTCCTCCGAAACGTCGGTTCACACAAGATCTACNGGGGGGAATCAGTAGTACTCAGGCCCCTCCTCTCTTCGAAAGGGAGGCCCCATTTCAAAACATGTTAAAGCCTAGGGAGAACAGAAATATGAGCATGGGTCCCTACGGGGTCCGAAACCAAGGACTGTGCTGGCGAGGCCAGCAGAAGTTTACTGGAACAGGTTTTTAGCATATTCTGACTGCTGGACCCAGTACTGATGTATCTTCGGACTTCGAAGGATTAAAACGCTGCATTTCTCAACATAACCGCGTGACGACACAAAGAACCAGTTCAAATCACAGGACACACCAATAAACTTCTATGTGTGTACACGCAACCTGCACATCTATCTATGGTTCTATAGTCCTACTGTTGGACCCTGGCCGCTTTTTCAGTTCTTAATCCTATACACAGTCGGAAGGACTCCTTGGACGGGGGATCAGTCCGTCGCAAGGTCCCTACCTATACACAGAACCACACAAACACATAATAGACGCGCACAGACATCCATGTCTCGAGTGTGATTCGAACCCATGATCCGCACACAGCCATCCATGTCTCGAGTGTGATTCGAACCCATGATCCCAATGTTCCAGTCTTAGACCGCGAGGCCCCTGCGATCGGCACTTTAAGCTTTCTAGCTTATATGGTTGTAATGCACCTCAGAGTTCACGAAAATAAAACATCTGCAAAATTTCAGAAGTACGAGTGATTCTCAAACAGCGTGTGCTGTCAGTCAGCATTGGCAGGCATCCGCTTGCAACCACGATGGCACTGCCAAGTGCCGCATTTTTAGTTACGTATTCACAGCTGAAGAAGGAACAGAACACGAAGAGAAACATCGATTCTAGATTTCACATTTATTAAAAACGAGATATGATCTTTATTTGCTGGCTAATTTAAAAGCTGGAGACAATGGACGTTTACAAAAAATGCAGGATGTCTTCTGAATATTTTGAAGTTGCTGTTCACCAAAAGCAAAAAAAAAAAAAAAAGGGAATTAACTGTAGAGCGTAAATCTGAGTGCAAGAGTGGCGCAACGCACGCTGCAACCGTGCAAATGCGATCCCCTTTGAAGTGCCGACACTGATCACGAAAAGTTTGCTCATGCGAGGCTCGGATTTTTTGTGTCTCCGATGTTTCTCTGTCTAAATCCCAATATTTGCTAATATTTGGTAACACTGCGCGTTCGAACAGATGCGCAGCTTAAAGAAATATGATACACATTCACACATCTCTATTTCTCTATCTAGCTCTGTACACCCCTTTTGGGCCTTAGCCGCTTTTTCAGTTTCTTACTCTAAACAGTCTGTAGGACTCCTTGGACGGGGGATCAGACCGTCTCAAGGCCACTACCCACACAGAATAGACGCACAAGGATATCCATGTCTCGAGTGAGATTTGAAATCACGATCCTACTGTTCGAGCGGGCGAAGAGACGGTTCATGCCTTAGACAGCGTGACCACTGTAATCGGCTTACACAATATCAATTTAACAAATTCTTGTCGATGTGATGGCAAAATAGGACGGAACACAATCCCACTGTCCATTTCACGTTTCGGAAACTATTTTAGACTTCAGAAACACATAATAAACACCGCGGCTTTAGTCCGTAAGCGAACTATACCGACTGAGCGACCGCCGCTTGTCGGCGAAGTAAGTGCCAACTTTAGCGGGTAGAGGGTGTCTCGTGGTCATCGCAACGGATCCCCACGGCCGTTAATTTCGGTTTTCTAGACCGGAGCCGCTACTTTTGCATTCAAGTAGCTCCTCAATTATCCTCATGAGGCTGAGTGGACCCCGTTCCAGACCCACTATTTCTCAGAAAATCTGGTAACGCCGGGAATCGAACCCGAGACCTCTGGATCTGTAGCCAGGGACTCTGACCACTAGACCACAGAGGCGGTCCTTTAGAAACACATGAATTTCAAAATTCCGAAGCCACGGCACAACACCATTAGCCATACCCTTGCGAGTGTGCGCTCGCGTTTCGAGAGGGACGGTTGGATAAGCCAGCGCAAGTTGTCTGTGCGACGGAATTCAATGCCGTGTGCTGACACCCTTCGGACCCCCTTACACCCTAACATTTAATTTTGTTCATTATACTGCATCCGCGGAAGCCGGGATAGCTCAGTCGGTATAGCGACTGGCTACGGTCTGGACGTGAGGAGCGGGGATAGCTCAGTCCGTATAGCGACTGGCTACAGGCTGGACGTGAGGAGCCGGTATAGCGACTGGCTACGGGCTGGACGTGAGGAGCCGGGATAGCGCAGGCCGTATAGCGACTGGCTACAGGCTGGACGTGAGGAGCCGGGATAGCGCAGGCCGTATAGCGACTGGCTACAGGCTGGACGTGAGGAGCCGGGATAGCGCAGGCCGTATAGCGACTGGCTACAGGCTGGACGTGAGGAGCCGGGATAGCGCAGGCCGTATAGCGACTGGCTACAGGCTGGACGTGAGGAGCCGGGATAGCGCAGGCCGTATAGCGACTGGCTACAGGCTGGACGTGAGGAGCCGGGATAGCGCAGGCCGTATAGCGACTGGCTACAGGCTGGACGTGAGGAGCCGGGATAGCGCAGGCCGTATAGCGACTGGCTACAGGCTGGACGTGAGGAGCCGGGATAGCGCAGGCCGTATAGCGACTGGCTACAGGCTGGACGTGAGGAGCCGGGATAGCGCAGGCCGTATAGCGACTGGCTACAGGCTGGACGTGAGGAGCCGGGATAGCGCAGGCCGTATAGCGACTGGCTACAGGCTGGACGTGAGGAGCCGGGATAGCGCAGGCCGTATAGCGACTGGCTACAGGCTGGACGTGAGGAGCCGGGATA